AAAAAAAAAAAAAAGAAACATACTTAGGTATGTTATGGAACCAAACTATAGGAAGGTAGCCATGCATGAAGGACAGTTTTGTTTATGTGTTTGTTTGTTTGAGACAGAGTCTCGCTCTTATCGCCCTTGCTGGAATGCAGTCGTGTAATCGTGGCTCATTGCGGCCTCGAACTCCTGGACTCAAGCAATCCTCCTGCCTCAGCCTCCCCAATGGCAGGTACTACAGATGCAAGTATGCACTAATTTTTTTTTTTTTTTTTTTGAGACGGAGTCTTACTCTGTTGCCCTGCTGGAGTGCAGTGGCACAATCTCGGCTCACTGCAACCTCCACCTCCTGGGTTAAAGCAATTCTTCTGCCTCAGCCTCTGGAGTAGCTGGGACTGCAGGCACATGCTACCATGCCTGGCTAATGTTTGTATTTTTAGTAGAGACTGGTCTCAAATTCCTGACCTCATTATCCACGCACCTCAGCCTCCCAAAGTGCTGGGATTACAGGCATGAGCCACCGCACCTGGCCGACACCCAACTAAATTTTAAATTTTCTTTCTTTTGTAGAGATGAGATCTTACTGTGTTGACCAGGCTGGCTTTAAAGTCCTGGCTTCAAATGATCCTCCTTCCTTGGCGCCTCCTAGGGGTTGGGATTACGAGTGTGAACTACCATGTCCAACCCATCAGGGACAATTTTTCTTTTTTTGAGATGGAGTCTCACACTGTCGCCCAGGCTGGAGTGCAGTGACACAATCTCAGCTCACTGCAGCCTCCACCTCCCAGGTTCAAGTGATTCTCCTGCCTCAGCCTCCCAAGTAGCTGGGATTACAGGCGCCTGCCACCATACCCAGCTAATTTTTTGTATTTTTAGTAGAGACAGGATTTCTCTGTGTTGGCCAGGCTGATCTTGAACTCCTGACCTCAAGATTCACCCACCTCGGCCTCCCAAAGTGCTGAGATTACAGGTGTGAGCCACTGCACCCCACCCATCAGGGACAATTTTGACAAGGAATTCCAGATGCTCTCAAGACTCTGACTTGCTTCTATAGTAATACTGGCCTCTCATTAGGAATGAATTTTTGACTTATTTCCCTTAAATTTCTTGTTTTGATTTTTAGGAATTTTGCCTCTGGATTCTGAAGACCCTGGATTTTGTGAAGTTGTTAGAGTACATGAGCATTACTTGGGTATGTAGCAGTTCAGTACTTTGGAGCTCACATAAGTCTTACTTCATTGACATATGGTTTAATGACATTTTAATTCTTTGAATCTACTGTGAGTGTCGTACTTAATAAAGTATCATTATCCAGTCATGTGTATAAAAAATGTTGGCTGGTCATATGAATACTTCTAGCTTATAATTAGTATTCATAAAATTGTTATTCAGACTCAACAATATCTAGGCCTTTAAGTTTTACTAACATTGCTCATAGATCTTTGAAAAGTGGTTTGTCAGCTGGGCGTGGTGTCTCACGCCTGTAATCCCAGCACTTTGGGAGGCTGAGGTGGGTGAATCACTTGAGGTCAGGAGTTTCAGACCAGCCAACCAATGTGGTGAAACCCTGTCACTACTAAAAATACAAAATTAGCTGGGCATGGTGGCACACACCTATAATTCCGGCTACTTGGGAGGTTGAGGCAGGAGAATCACTTGAACCCGGGAGGGGGAGTTTGCAGGGAGC